AGTCTCACAGTGAAGTAAAGTGCCATATAAATATAGTTTTTATTTTTTTTATAGAGATTGGCCAAGGATGCCATCTCTCTCACCCTAACTTCATCCTTCAAACACTAGGAACTTAGATGCCCTCCCTGCCTTAGCCTCTGTCTAATCATTCAGATTGTATATTCCCTCCAAGGCCCAGCTCAAGTACTAACACACTTTCTAAGCCTCCTGGTATAGGCTGCCCAGGAAGAAGAAGATGACAGTGAGACCCCATTTCAGGCATGGGTGCCCAGAGAACAGAAAGCACGAGCACCAGGCCGGTGCTGCTGCCCAAAGACAAGAGTGGCCAGAACAATGGTCAACTCAGAATCAGAAAACCCAGGCCCAACCCAGAATCCCCCAGGCTGCCAGGATCACCACAGGAAACCCTGCTTGGGAGTGGCTCTGACACACCAGACTGATGGAGACCTGTGCCAGGAACATTTAACTCCATTACCAAAACACTGGGCCCTGATGCATGAAAAATAACATCAGTGACTCCATTTTGCCTTTCTCCACCATTTTGTGTAGCTAAGTTTCAGCTGCTTATAAGTCACCTGATTTTAGAGAAGTCACAAAATTTCCCCCCCTCCTAAAGGTCCCCCGACTTAAGAAATGTCACATAACTACCCCCTCCCTCTGCCAATAATCCCAATAATATTGTTTTTCCTGTTTTTTACTCCCTCCAAATTGTATGTTAACTGTGTAGAAACTAAGGTTCTGGGTCTTTGGCTACTGAGAGCCTTGGACCCAATTTGTTCCCATAATCGCATGCCTTGCTAAATAAATCATTTGTCTAGATGTAACGACTCAATTTCTTTCATTTGAACAGCCTGGGGATTCAAGAAAAGAAACCCATGCCAAGCCAAGCCGGCAGAATTTCCCCTCAGAGAGAGTAGATTAGTAGGACATAGTCACGAACAGAATCCTAACTGGGGCGATTAGAGTCGGGACGTAATTAAAAACTTTTGATGTCTGAAGCCAGGGAGACCACATTCTGCTATCTGGATCTTCCAATCAGCTGAAGCACAACTGGGGGAGGAGGTAAATGGCCACTGGAGAACTGTCATGGGGTGAACACTAGAATTTCCTCCTCAACATAAAAGGAAGCAGTGTTAGAACACAGAGGGATAAACGACTGGTGGTGTGGGTTGGGGAGAATTCCCCCAACTTATGCCTAGGCCTTTGTATTTTGGTCTGGTGATTAGAAGACAGGAAACTGGCATCCTGATTATAGGATTGTGGATTTAAAGCTGGAAGGACCTTAGGGTGTACTGAGTCCAACTGAGTCCTTTTTACAGAGGGGGATACTGAGGCCAAGGAAAGTGGAATGACTTTCCTAAAGTCTCATGGGTAGTAAGTGAAGAGCTGCAGGATTTAAACCCAGTTCCTCTAACTGAGAGTCCAGCATTCTTTCCACTATACTACAGAAACTTTAGGTTCCAGCTCTGCTACTAACTGTCTGTGTGAGCTTGGGTAATTTACTTTCCTCATCTGGCCTAAGAGAATCTCGAGAGTAGGAAGGGACCATAGGGGTCAAGGAAGGCAAGTGAACAGGATTTCCACTTGAGGACCTCCTTCTGAGAAGAAGGCACCGCTTCCAGAGGCAGGGCATTCACTCTAATGGCTGTGAAATTTCTCCCTAGGCTGGGCTGAAATGGACTCCTCCTGATTCTGCCTCTGGGGCCAAGAAGACCGAATACAGTCCCTCTTCTAATCCGTCCCTCCTAAATCTTCTCTTCTTCAGGTTCAACAGCCCCATCTCCTTTTCCCCCATCCTTGTAAAATGATTTCAATTCTAATATTCTGTATTCTGAACTCAGACACCCCAGATGCAAACAGCAGTACCACTGAGGCTCACTAGATGGCACCAGAGATGCAGAAGGCGCCAGCGGAGCATAGAAATGCAGGAGGAGATGACCAGGGAGAACGGAGGGTTTTTAAATTGTTGGACAGTTCCCCATAATACTAGGAAAGCTTCAAAAACCACTCTCTCTGTCTCTCTTTTTGTACTCCCATCGTCTCCCTCTATCCTGCCCTCTCCTCTCTCCTCTCTCTCTCCCTTCCTCTCCTCCCTCCTCTCTTTTCTCTCTGTCTGTCTCTGTATCTCTGTCTCTCTCCCTCCCTCTCCCCTCCCTCCTCCTCCTCTTCCTCCTTCTTCTTCTGTCTCCCTCCTTCCTCCTCTTTTTCTCTATCTCTCTCTCTCCCTCCTTCCCCCCTCTATCTCTCTGTCTCTCTCTCCCCCCATTCATTTGCATTCTCTCTCTCTCTCTCTCTCCCCCTCTCTCTCTCTTTCCTCTCTCTCCCCTCTTCTTTCTTGCTCCCTCCTCACCTCTCTCTTCCTTCCATGCCTACCTACAAATTTTTGCATGGCACATGTTGTTGTTAGCTCATTTTTCAGTTGTATCTGACTCTCTGTGACCCCAATTGGGGTTTTCTTGGCAGAGATCCTAGAGGGGTTTGCCATTTCCTTCTCTAGCTCATTTGACAGAAGAGGAAACTGAGGAAAACAGGGTTAAGTGACCCCAGAGTCACACAGCTAGGAAGAATCTGAGGGCAGATTTGAACTCACAAAGATGACTCCTCCTAACTGCAGACCCTGCACTCTACCCACTGTGCCACCTCACTGCCCATGGCACATAGCAGGCTCTTAATAAATATTGATTGGATTGGTCTAGGCTAGGAGAAGGCACTGGTCTTGGAATCAGGAAGACTTGGGTTCAAATTCCACCACAGTCACTAAGCTGTGAGAGTTTAATCAAGATGCTTTCCCATTCTGGGCCTCAGTTTCCCCCGCTGTAAAATAGAAGGCCCTGGGCTTGATGACTTCTGAATTTCCTTCTAGAAATAAAGCCATGACCCTGTGATGCTAATTCAATTCAGCAAACATTTGCCAGGCTCCCATTCTTTGTGGAATGCTGGGCAAGACCCTGGAACAAAACCGAACCAGTCCCTTCCCAAGTCATCTCCCCTTCCCCCACCATTCTGACTGCCCCCCCCCCCGGTGTCCTACCACTTACAGATCAAACACCAATAGTTCTGCCACATTCCTACAGTCAGCCTCTCCATACTTACTATCTGTGTGACTCCAAGCACTTAGCACAGTGCCTGGCACACAGCAGGAGCTGGTAACTGTTTACTGACTAACTCAATAATCTCTGAGAATCCTTTCATCTCTGGCACTCTGTGAATCTAGCTGCTCAAGGAAAGGTGGAGGAATAAGGGTAACCAGAAGGGTCACTTGCTGGGCTTGGGGGTGGGGATGGTAAATGAACCTCCGAGCCTGCCTGGCAAGGTTTCAGGCCAGAGATATCAGCCTTCTCCCTAGCCCCATCAGCATCCCTGCTCATTCCTACCAAACTAATATGGCTAATTACAGACTTCTGCTCCCCAGAATCTTACCTCCCCCACTTCATCTAAAGGTCACCCCTCCAGTACTGTCAGCATGAACCCCCATCTCTAATATCCACCCCCCCAACTCCCATCACGCCTGGCAGGCGCTCAGTGCCATTTCTATGGTTGTCTGCATTGGGTCTCAGTTGCTATGACAACATGGTGGCTTCCCCCAAGTGGAAAAGCCTGTTGTCAAGGCCGCTGTTGCCAAAGGCTATAACAGCCAACCTCTACCAAGGGGGTGTGTGAAGAGGGGGCGCAAACTCCCAGCAGCAACAGGGAAAGGGGTGCACAGTGAGATATGGATGGGCCCTGATCTTTCCCGCCCCCCATCCCCTTGCCAACCAGGGGCTCTTGTGAGCCCAACCCAGTCAGATTCTCTTTCTAGTTCCTTTTAAAAAAAAATAGGTTGAACAGGTTGGAGTCATACACACAAACAGAACAGCACCTGGATAAATGAGCAAAGGGGCATCTCACAATGTTCTAAGGGCTCATCCTGAGGCAGCCCCCATAGGGCAGAGGTACTGAACCTTCTTTCATATCATGGGCCGGACCTCTTTGGCAGCTGGCTGAACCCCATGGACCCCTTCTCAGAATAAGATTGTTTTTAAAAATCATACTGGAAAGAACTGCTAAATTTCAGTTATGTTAGTAGAAATATATAAATTTTTTCCCATCCAAGTGGATAGACTCCTGAAATCTATCCCTGACAATTCCTATCCCTTAAAGACCCACAAACCCCTCTCCCTAAGGCAGAGGACACAGAGGAGACAACCTACCAAAGGTCCCAACCATTCTGCGACCTCAGATCAAGAACTCCTGCATTAGAATGAAAGAAGAGAAGCCAACATAAATATCCCCCCCATAGGAGCCCATGGCCAAAAGACCAAGAGCCACCTACCATGGGGGATGTATCTGCCTAACTCCAGGGAAGGAAAGTTGCCTCCAGTCCCCCCACTCTCTACCACCATGTCTGTCTCAGGCTGTTGCAGTCTCAGTCTGTCTTTCACACACATACACAAGAAAGAGAGAGAGAGAGAGAGAGAGAGAGAGAGAGAGAGAGAGAGAGAGAGAGAGAGAAGGGGACAAAAGCCCAGGGGTCCAGAAAGGTCAGTCTAAACTCTGGCATGACATTTCCTCCTGAACTTTCTCTTCCTTTTCAGAAAGGGGGTGAGAGGGAATGAGAAAAGGGAAGATGGGGCAACCAGGAGACAGAAGCTAAGCAGACAGAGTGGAAAAGGAGGAGGAGACAGGGTGGAGGGACAGACCACAGGGAGAAGAGAAGCAGACAGGATAGAAGAAGGGATGTAAAGAGTGAGCAAAAGGAAGAGAGAAAAACAACGAGGCAGAAGGAATGGGAATTATCTCAAGGAAGATGTCATTCTAGGATCCCATAAATATAAACCAAAGTCAATGCAACAACTGAAAGACTGATGGATAGCTATTAATGGAAGCCAGAACAGGGGGCTCAGAATATATATTTCAGCCATTCTCATCCTTCCCTCAAAACATTTCTGACAATTCCCAGTCTTTAAGAACCATGCACCCCCCTCTCTCCAAAGCAGAAAAAGAAAGGAGGAGTCACCTACCACAGGTCCCAAACCTTCTGGGGGGGTGGGCAAGATGCCATCCCCACCACCCTGGCTTCGGGCGCTGAGCTGAGGGGACATGGTGGGCGACTCATCGATGTATGGCATGGTCTCTGAGCCCTCGGGTGGCACCTTCTGCTCCTCATTCCCCTCCCCGTCGTAGTCGTCGGCCCCGTAGCTGAAGTCTGTGACAAGGAACAAGAAAGGCCACTGAGAATCCTCTACCAGGGCTGCCAGGGAAGGGTAGCGCAGTGGGCGCCGACGCCGGCCCCCTGCCGCCATGGCTCACCCCACACCATTTACCAGCCCCCTTGGCTAGGGCTGGGTTGTGAGAGAGCCCTCCCGTGTGCCGGACCCAGGAGTCCCAGAAGGCACAGGTCTCGCTGCACACTCAGAGGCTGCTCAGAGTCAGGCAGCGGCAGCATTGTCAGAACCGCCCGCTTAATGACATGTCAGACGCTTATTCCGAGCTGCCGTTTCCTTTGCCTCCTGTCTAATTCCAAGTCCAAAAATTAACAGCAGGAGCAGGAGGCAGGAAGCTCCCAACTCTCTTCTCTGAGTCACCACTCTGCTTTTTATAGGGAATAAGGAGGCGGGGGCAGGCTGAACGATGTCATTTCCTGAACCCCTCCCCTCCTGGTGTCATTTCTAGACTGAGCCCAGTCCCCCCTGGGGGGCCAAGATTAAGACTGGGTGTGAGGGAGAAAGAGAGAACCATTCCTAAATCAGCCCTCCCAGTTCCCTCAAACCTTTCCCCATGAGAGAGGGTGCCAAGGCTCCAATGCCAGGGGGCTACAGGGTGGGGATGAGGGGGTGGTTCTGTGGCCAAGCTGGGCCAGTGTTTAATAGTAGGGTCCTCAAAAGCCAGGTCTGGTTCTATAATTTCACCATAAGCTTCTTTTAGAGAAGAAGCAGGAGGAGGAGGAGGGAGACAAGGGAGCCTCTGAGCTGCAATTAACCCCCTAACTGCTGTTGCTAGCACCATTCAGCCTTTTAAACTATATGCCCAGATGCCCTACCCACAAAACAGCAGGGTTAACAGGTGAGAACAGGAGGTGGTGGGAGCTGTCCAAGTGCTTAGCGCTGAAAGGGTTAATGGGTTTGTTCCCATGGGGACCCCCAAGTTGAAAAGGTCCCCTGCTGCAGGGCAGCTAGACGCACTACCTCCTTTATTCATAAAGAGCAAGCCAGTTACCAGCCTCTGGCAATGCTAGGAATCACACTGTAGTTGCTTTCCTTCCAAATGACTGCTCCTCAGGGGGATATTTAGAACCCCAGGGCAATTTAGGAGCCTGCTCAAACTTGGATGCCCCCAGCCTCTACGAATGACGGCCAGGTCACTTCTGTATGACGTCTGTGACCAGGATTCAAACTTGACAAAGGCTTGGCTTCTTTCCTTGGATACTGGGGCTATGGGTACTTTCCAAGGGGTCAATAACGATCTCTCAATCTTGGAAATTGCCTGGTGACTTGAGACTTGTGCCCAGACTAGGAGAGTATCCTACCTGCCCACCCCCCAATGACCTAAGTGGTCAAAAGCCAAGTAGCCCATGTCCCATCAAGTGGGTTAACCTGAGTTGTGGAAAGTTTACCACCTCACAGGGAGTCACTTCCTCATACTGAGTATAATATGGAAGACACTACACAGATGTCTTGGCTGCTTCGTACGGATGTTCAGGACTAAGGTAGTGTGGGGAGAGGGTTAGGGGATGAGGACAGGCTGTTCAAAGCCAGGGAAGGGACTTGATGAGTCCATAACTGACCAAAGGGACCTATCTGAATGAGAGACTCTCCAATAACCTTCATTTCACAGAACAAGAAACAGGCTGAGGTAGATGAAGCCACCCTATCAAGGTTCCCCAGTCAGTAAGTGTCCAGTAGGTCTTCTGACTCCATATCCAAGGCTTTTCCCATGGCATACATTTTTGAGGTATTTTTCTAGGTGGCCCAAGTCAGCTGGGCTGGCCAATTTCAAGCAACCAACGAACCCAGACTTCCATGATTTGATAACACAGACTTACATGGAGGCACACACATGCTCCCCTCCCACTGCACAAACCCATTCTAACAGACTAAAGCTCACTGCTGACCCCGTATTTCACATCTTCCATGGGCTCCTTTCACCACCCATCTAAACTCTTTTGTCTTTGCAGCCCCAGCACTTGGCACAGGTGCCTGGCACTGAGAAGGCTCCTAATAAATGCTTGCTGATGGCTTGAACCCAGCCATCACCACTCACTGACATCTCTGAATACTTGTGGAGTGGCTCAGAGATACCTCCAGGCTGTTCTCCAGCAGCTGCACCTGCTTCCAGACCTCCTATCTTCTCCCCCCACCTCAGCCCTGAACATCACCATTAAGTTGTCAAGGCATCTGTGTTCTTCCTGGCTTCTTTTCATGCTGTTACCAGTTATTACTGAGGCCTCGGACTGGAATGTGTGGGAGGGAGGCAGGCGTGAGCAGTGCATGCGAGATAGAGGTTCTGTGCATGAAGCCACGACAGGGAGGGACCACAAGGTCACCGTCCTCTAGAAGGCAGACGGCCGTGTGTCTTGTGGCCTGCACAGTTGCTCGGAAATCTTTCATTTTTTTTTCTTGGGAAGGCAAAGGGAGACAGCAATGGCCTGAATCACTAAACGTTGAGTTGTGAGATCATACAGTCTTGAAGGGAAATAAGGAAGTTACTCCTAAGCGACTACTTCTTCTTCCCTGGCTGGTTCAAAGACTGTCTACCAGATGGAGTCCAGAATCCATCTCAGGCTTCCTTCAAAGTTCATCTCAAGGACCATCTCCTTCCTGCAGAAGGCCTGCCCTGATCCCTCCAAATGTTAATCCCTCTCCCCGAAATTACCTTTGCTTTTACTTAGTCCACACTTACATGCAATGTAATCTCCTGGAGGGTACAGCCTGTTTTTGCCTTTGTTTTCCCAGGACCTAGTGTAGTATCTGGAACACAGTAGGTACTTAATATATGCTTGTTTATGGACTGCCTGGTAGGCAGCACTGTACCATAGTACTGGATTTGGAGTTTGAGAACCCAGGCTCAGATCCTACTCACTACCTGTGTGACCTTGGGACAAATCACTTAAGCTCTCTTGGCTTCAGCCTCATCTGTAAAATAGGTCTGTTGAACTTCACAATCTCTATGGTAGCTTCTGGCCCTAATTACAGAGCCCAACTGAGAGTGCCTGGGGGAGGGGGACGCTTAAGTGAAACTGATGCCAAGCAGGGCCTCCCTAACCCTCCCCTAGACTTCACAAGCAACCTTCGTGCCAATTTTCTCCTCCTAACAACGACCTCTCCACCCCATCCCTGCCAGAGGGAACCTAGAATCCCTTGCTCCACTTCTCAATGGTGGTGGGCCAGCATCTTCCAGGTTCCCTGCCACACTGTACCCTTCAGGTCTCCAGACTCCGAGATCCACTCTGTAGCTGAACCCTAAATGTGCTATCTCCCCTGAAAAGAAACATGAGCTCCCTGAAAGCAGGGGCTGCCAGCTTTTCTATTTATATCCCCCATACAACGGCACACAACAAAATGCTTCTCCATTTTTGTTCATAAGCCTATGATTCTACGATTGACTATGTTAACACTACAGGACACTTTGGAGACCATTTGAAAAGAGAAGCCCATACTCGAGTCCTAGGGAGCTCTCAGGTTTCCGAAGGGTAGGTGGGAGGGGTGGGCTCAACAGGCCAAGACTGAGCTCCCCACAAGTAAGCTCTGCTCCCCATGCCCAGTGGACACTTCCAAGAGCAAAGACAGACGATGTAACAGGAAAGGTGGCAGATCTCATTCCCCCTCCTCACTGGGCAGCCAGGGTGCCACTGCTCTCCCCAGCCAAGGGCCTCTGCTTCCCTAACACTTGCTATGTGACGAACAGGAAGCCTGATTAAACTTGGCCTTGGGCACACACGCAGCAGTATTTTCTCACCACTCCCCCTCTCCCCAAGCTCCAGAAGTATTCCATCCTGTAACAGAGAAGATGGAGATAGGAATAAAGCAGAAGGCACAGGCATGAACTAGGCTCTATCAGACCTCGGCTCTTCCCAGCGGAGCCCAGGGGAAAGACCTGGAAAGGATAAAGCTAAGAGTAATTATAGCTAAGCCAGGAAAAAGCAAGGAAAGCCCAGTCACGGGAAAGTCCTCACTCATCAGTCACTCATTTATTCATCAAACATTTATTTAAACGTCTGAGGGAAACAGGATTCTCGGTCATTTCCTATTCACAAAGTCAGAAGGCAGTTTCACAAGGCCAGTGATGCTTACTCTAGCTGGATGAAGTCAAAACACCAGGGAAAAATGGAGGCTTCCTCACAGAACAGGGTCTTCACGGAGCAACTATGGAAGCACCATATTGGCCTTTTTGTTCATCAATCGGAGAGACCCAACAGGGATGGAGGGCGTCTCACTGGGCTGAGGCTGAGCAGTGGCTAGGATGCACTCACATACATCCTCTTCACCTCTGCCTACAAGACTCCTTGTTTTCTATCAAAGCTCAGGTTAGGCACAGAGTGAATATGACAGATAAAGCAGCAACTGTGGAACCAAACCATTAAAAGTTCAAATCCTGCCTGATACTCTTCTACCTCAGTGACCATGGGCAAGTCCCTTTACCTCTCTGTGCCTCAGTTTCCTCTTCTGTAAAGCAAGAACATTGAACTAGCTAGCCTCTGAGGCCAGAGCTCTGGTCCCCATTCCTATTCCTTTCCTGACCCCTACCAGCTGCTGTATTCTTGCCCTTCTCAAAATATCTCACAGTTACTTATCTGGGTACACACTCCATCCCCCAGCAGAATGTGAGCTTTCTGAAGGCAGAGACAATTTTTCCTCTCTGTCTTTTTATCCTCAGTTTAGCACAGGCCCTCATATGTGGTGGGCACTTTAAAAAGGCATGCTGAGAACCAGGCAAAAACAAATAACACCACAAAGACTACAGAAATAGAAAGAGAAAGAACAACAGAATGAACACGAAGGCTGCAGAATTCTAATGACCAAGTTTGCTTCAGAGAATTTTGCACGCCCCTGGACCCTGTCCCTTCTCTCGCTGTACAGGCAGGGGACGAGGGGTGTTCCAGGTGGCATATACTGTTGGACTTTGTATTTGTTGGTGGTTTTTTGCTGAACTGCTCTATTCTTTTCTTTTTCTGTTCTTTGTCTTTTTCGCTTTTTGATTCAGAGGACT